GGGGGGGAATTTAAGGCTTTGGAGTTAGAGAGTAGTGTTGTTTATTCCGCATGGGAATGGGCACAGCCAGGAATATGTACCTAGTTCCCCATGTGCATGGGATGTATTTCTTATATATATAAGCAGGGATCTCAACTGTGTCGTTCACTTTGGTATCGTGTCATTTTTTGTAAGTGTCATGTCATAATCACTTTTGAATCATATCATTTTTATAAAATAACTATTTTCTACCTTAAGTGCCCATTAAATACTTATTTTTTTTACTATAATACTAGTTAATCGTATTTAATCTTAATTTGACTCAAGGTCGGATACAAGGGCTGCCACAAAATCAACTTGTGAGACACACAAGTAGATTTTTTTCAAAAATAAATCTGACAAATAGATAGGTGCTAGACATTTATTGTACATATATAATTTTTTATTGAAAAATTACACCACATGACAGTATTAAACCACTGAAAATTTTCTCAATTTTTTAAGTTCTTTTTTCTGAGAAATTTTTAGATAGTAATACACACCATGTGATCACGATCACATGGGGTGTACATCCAATAAAACACTTCCCCTTCAGCATTTTGTGCATCAAAATTTCCACCAAATTTTATGTATTGGGTACAATTGACAGATAGCTGAACCCCTTTCCTCTCTTATGTCTTATGAAAACAAAAATGGGTACCATACCTCTAAATTTTATAATTTTTGTGGGTGTTAGTATAAATTTGAATAAATTTTAATAACATTCCTTGAAAAATGGCCTAATTATAAGGACTACCCATGTGGTTTTGGAAATATCACTGTCATCACGTATAGTTTATAAGTCCATTTCACATGCTACCCCTAGGGATGTTAGTGGACTGAAGCGGGGGGCAGAGAGTGTAGTCTTCATTCCCGTACCCGCTTAAAAAAACTATGTTCATCCCCAGTCCACTCCCGTTAACGGGTATAATTTTCATCATCATCCCCGTCCACGGATAAATTTTTAATCCCCATCCCCCTCCCCGCTTCCCCATACCCGCTTAGGCTCAAGCCCAAGCCCAAGTAACATAATTCAAAATTCTAAATAAATTTAATATTTTAAATAATCCAACAACATTCTAAATAATCTAGTGAATAATCTAGATTACAAAATGTAAAAGTCAAAACAATATAGTATTCTGTTTAAAGTGTCATTGAACCACAAAAAGAGAAACGGAACTATTAGAGAGAAAGGAACAAAAGAAAAATAAAAATAAAATTGAACTAAGAAAACGATAATATTACACTTGAAGTTTCCTAGAAGAATTTTTATTATTACAATTCATGTTACAACCATAAAGTGTTAAAATATGGAAACTTAAAATTTCGCTAATTCAATAATTCTTCAAATTTCTTAGTTTACTCTAGCAGAGAAACTCATCAACCTCCATTCACAATATTTCTATCCACAATGAAATGCAAAACTATCTTACTCTCTCTTATCTGTTTTTAGAGCATGGTTAATCCAAACTTCTAACAGTTTCAATTAGTTAACACAAATAGAAAAAAGAATAATCAAAGAAAAAAGTTGATAAGATTATCACATAACAATGTCACTTGTTAGTTTGATTACCATATTTCNTCTAACAGTTTCAATTAGTTAACACAAATAGAAAAAAGAATAATCAAAGAAAAAAGTTGATAAGATTATCACATAACAATGTCACTTGTTAGTTTGATTACCATNACACATCCAAAAGTTATGATGTCAGCCAATATTCTTTTATAAATAAATAATTTACACTTCACCTATATATAAATCTTGCACACCAAACACCCTTATTTTTTTGTTAAACAAAACTAATTAATCTTGTACTGCAATTTCATCTTTGTTCATATTTCACACACTAATTATCTCACACACGCAAATGAGATTTTTTTTTTTTTTTTTTTTGAGACTTTAGAGTAAAATGAGAGCAANTTTTTTTTGAGACTTTAGAGTAAAATGAGAGCAATTGTAATTGCAAATGTGGTGGGTTAAAATGAAATATAATTATTTTTATTTATAAAAATATATAATAAAAAGTTTATAATTGTTTGATGGGGTCAAATATACATAAAATACTACCTTCTTTTTTTTTTTTTAACCATTGTTCACATGTTACCAGGCAGAACTTAGAAATGCGCAACGTGCAAGTCTTCAAAACATTAGACAGCATGCCGTGAGGGAAAGAAGCACGTGATGTGCTGAGGACCCATGTGCAGGACACCAAGAGACAGCCAAGACTCAAAGTTTCAAATTTAATGCGTCTAACTTTTTTTAAGAGGGGACAGCCTCTTAGGGCTAAGTTGGGCAGGTGGGGTTTTGGACTGAGTTTTAACGGATTTTTATAGGCAGGTTATTAATCTGGGTTTCGAGCCGATTAATTGGTTTGGGGTAAGCCCAAGTCCTTTCTTGAAAATATTGGGTTTGGACGAACCAATTATCAAACTTATTGAATTTCGAACCTATTTTTTTTTAAGTGGCTAACGGAGCCCGTCGGTGACTCGGCCCATGGACACACATACACGCGTACATGTATATATGTGCGCACAAAAGCACGTTCACCCAATTTGTAAGCTAGAAAATTTTTTAGAGGCTTAGGGAGGTCGATACCTCCCTAAAAACTTAATCGGATAAAAGTACACTTTTTAAAATTATTGAGATAGAAATATATCTTCTAAAAAAGTCATAAATGCTCTTTTACACCTACCATAAATAGTGCATACCTAATTGAATGTGAGATTTTCAAGATTAGAACGTGAGAATTTCAAGATTCCTTTTGATATTTATGTATCATTTAAATTTTGAAATTTCATATATATATATAGTAACATATATATTTTTTCACTCAAAGAGTTGTACCTAAAGAGGTACCCTATCAATGGTATTATATAATGCCCCCTTGATAGTGCCCAAGTAGTATCAGTAAAGAGTGATAATTAAACAATTATTTGATATTACTATTTTTTTGTTAAGTGTGTTACTGTTTGATGCTACTACTTTTTTGTTGAACATGCTACTGTTTGATATTACTATATATGTGTGTGTGTGTGTGTGTATATATATATATATACATATGCATATACATATACATATATATATATATATATATATATATATATATATATATATATATATATATGTATTCGAAATTTTAAAATTCAAATGATACACAAATATTAAAAGAAATCTTGAAAATCTCACATTCTAATATTTAGATATTAGAAATATAAAAGTTGTCAATTAGATATGCACTATTTATGATAGGGGTAATTATGGAATACATTTTAGAAAGAATTTGAAAATATTTTAAAATGTGTACTTATTGACAACTATTTGATGAAAAANATATATATATATATATATATATATATATAGTAACATATATATTTGTTCACTCAAAGAGTTGTACCTAAAGAGGTACCCTATCAATGGCATTATATAATGCCCCCTTGATAGTGCCCAAGTACTGTCAGTAAAGAGTGATAATTAAACTATTATTTGATATTACTATTTTTTTGTTAAGTGTGTTACTGTTTGATGTTACTATTTTTTTGTTGAACATGCTACTGTTTGATATTACTATATGTGTGTGTGTGTGTGTATATATATACATATACATATACATATATATATATATATATATATATATGCATATGTATTCGAAATTTTAAAATTCAAATGATACACAAATATTAAAAGAAATCTTGAAAATCTCACATTCTAATATTTAGATATTAGAAATATAAAAGTTGTCAATTAGATATGCACTATTTATGATAGGGGTAATTATGGAATACATTTTAGAAAGAATTTGAAAATATTTTAAAATGTGTACTTATTGACAACTATTTGATGAAAAAAAAAAGACTTAAAGGATGATAAGTTTGGAGATGATACTTAAAGCCAAATAAGTTTTAAAAAAAGTACTCACAACCCATTATCTCAATTTTTTATCCTTCATCACTATATACTACAACGCAAATTTCACCCCTTGAATGTTAATTTGGTATCAAATTGATAAAATTAAAAATTGAATTCAGTATTAAATTGATTAAAATAGTGTTAATATCATGAAATCAAATGTAAAATTCATGAAATTGAATGTTAATTTTATGAAATTCAATGTCAATTGTCATTGATAAAACAAGAATTTAGAGTACTCAAGCACACTACAAAGCAAGGGACTTGTTTTATGATTCGATCATCCAAGTGTTTCTTTATTCAAGACAACGAAACCCAAACACCCCCCACCCTAAGTGATAGAAAAGGTTAAAAAACCACACATAGGTGTTTGCAGGCGCACTCATACACACAGAAGAAGACTGGTCTGATTGAAATTATATTAGCATATCCATGTTGTCTCTATGCCCCTCCAAGGGTTTGTACTGCTATATTTTGATAGAGCTGGTGGTGCGGAAGTGCTCAAGAGCTTCCCCAGTCGATGACCTTGTGGAGAGCCGAACCATTCTATATTCTTCAACATCAAAAGGAACATAGGCACGAGGGAGGTCAGATCCCACTAATTCTAATGGTGCTTCCACTTTCGCCTCCTTTGGTCCTAAGAAGAACGCAACGACTGATACACGTGGTTTCCCTTCCTTGTTTTGTACTCGGTGCTTCACATTATAAAACCTTCCATTGCTCCAGGCCTTTGATATATAAGAAGTACTTTTTCATAAGGAAGACAAGGACGAATTATTGTAATATGTATCCAAGGAAAAACAAGTTTCATACCTTAGCAATATCTCCAAGAACGACAAGAAGGGTACCTGGCGGGGAGGGTTCAACATCTATTATTTCACCAGACTGCTTGTCTACGAGTTCTAGACCACCAACACTTTCATCATCCTGGAGTATAGTAAGATATGACAAGTCTGAGTGCATCCTGGCACCATTGGATCCTACACTCTCAGGAGTAAAATGATATTTGAGAAGTCGAAATTGGCAGGGCCATCCTTGCATAAACTCAGGGATGTCCAACCCCAATGCTTCAACCAACTTGCCACCGATATACCTGGCCAACTCCTCTACTGCCTTGAAGTATCTCAGTATTGTCTCCCTGTAAGAAATTAGGTGCAATAAATCAAGTAAAAGGGAAGAAAATTTATCCAGCATGTATAGCACAAGACTATATGGTAAATCAAGACCGTAGAAAGCAGTGCTGATCAGGAACCAATCAGGACTAATTTTGGACGACAGTGTCAAAAAATTTCAAAAGATCTCATTATGGAAGGCTCTCGACGATCTCAGTAAGACTAAAATTTTCATCTCGTCATTTTCAAGCCAAAAAATGACGTTTAGGGCATTTTTTTGACAGTTTTCTATTTTATCCCGTTGTTTGGGATATTTTCATAATATTGTTNGCTAATTTTGGACGACAGTGTCAAAAAATTTCAAAAGATCTCATTCTGGAAGGCTCTCGACGATCTCAGTAAGACTAAATTTTTCATCTCGTCATTTTCAAGCCAAAAAATGACGTTTAGGGCATTTTTTTGACAGTTTTCTATTTTATCCCGTTGTTTGGGATATTTTCATAATATTGTTTATTTGCTTGATTTTTCTAGTAATTTATGACAATTAAGGTTTGTATTTATATGGTCTTCAAAACTAATTTAGTAGCTTTCTTTGGTTTTGATTTGAATAAAAACTGAGAGACGGGTTCTCTTTTCTTCCCAATTGTGCCTTGGTATTCTGTGGAATCAACAAGACTTTTGAAAACTCTAATCTGATATTATTGTCATAATCAACAGATAACTTCTTTTGTTCAATCTCGTTTCTTTATTCATGTTACCCTGCGTCAAAAATAAATCAAGTAGTTCATATGAAATTGTAATAGTACCTTTGGTGAGTAGAGACATTTAGACGATCACAAAAAGAGTGGAAAACCTCAGCTAAAGCGATGTCATATACACCCAAGCTCTCATAAAGAGGGTTGATTTCCGAAGGTGGTATGTAACCTTTGCCAACAACACCATCAAAAGTCTTTCGTTTGATTTCCATAGGGAGGCTCAGAAGAGATTCACCCACTGCCTTCATTTCTGACATCAACGACAATGGAATTTTGTGGTTGATAATTCTGAAACATCCCCACTCCTCACATGCTGCTATCAGTTTTTCAGATTGTCCTGGAAAGTCTTTAATGTCAATCACTGGGATACAAGAAGTATTCATAGAGCTTTTTCTTCTTCTTTTCTTTGGGATTTTGGGTTGTGGAGTTGGAGAGTAGTGTTGTTGATTCTGCATCGGATGCATTTCTTATATATAAACTAGTGTTGGAAGTTCTTTGGACCAAGAATAAAAGCTGACACGCACACACACATATATGTTATTTTATTCATCTGTTTCTTTCCCACTCTTATGTTTATTATGAAAAAGCAAAAATAGGTCACATACCTCTAAATTTTATAATTTTGGTGGGTGTTAATATAAATTTTTGAGTTTGTTTATAATAATAAAAAAAATTATAACCCTGGCTCATGTTAAAACTTTTAAAGGTTCATTATCACTTTTGTGGTACTTTTTTTGGGTATGTTAGAATCTTTTCTAACATTTTTTGTATTGATGGCAAGTAACCATAAAAATTATAAATGATATTAAAAAATTGTAAAAAAATAAAACTCACAAAATTTGTAATGTCGTTACAACACATAATTTATTTGGATACCGTGAACTTCTTCTGTATATATATATATACACACACCCACTAGATATACTGTTCATCTTCCCCTTCTCTCTCTCTTCCTCTTTTTGATCATTTGATATATAGTTAAAAACAACACATTTTTTATGAGCGGTCTGGTCATTTTAATTTGTACTATATACCTATGTAAAAATAGACTTAAAAATTAAACTTAATAATCTCAACCATTGATTTCACTGTGGGTCCTAACATTTATTAGGACCCGCTACGTATTCAATGATCGAAATTTTCAAGTTTAGTTTTTAAGTACATCTAGCATTACTCTATACTTATTTCTCTCATCACTTAAAATGGGTTACCTTTCTCTCTTACTATTGGAATTGGAGGTTCATCATTCACGCNCTTAATAATCTCAATCATTGATTTCACTGTGGGTCCCAACATTTATTAGGACCCGCTACGTATTCAATGATTGCGATTTTCAAGTTTAGTTTTTAAGTACATCTAGCATTACTCTATACTTATTTCTCTCATCTCTTAAAATGGGTTACCTTTCTCTCTTACTATTGGAATTGGAGGTTCATCATTCACGCCCAGATCAGTGTTTAATTGTGTTTCAATGTTATATTTAAAGTTTTGAGTTGCAGTGTTGTTAAAGCTTCAACTTTAAAGCTTCAATTGCTTGAAAAAGTAGTTGAGAAGCTTCAACTTGAAAGCTTCAATGGCTTGAAAAAGTTGTTGAGAGTGTGTGATTGTAAGTTTGATTTGTTTTTTTTTTTTTTCGAAGTTGTCTGGATGTTCATGTCTCATTGTTATTGGTCAGTCCTCATGCGTAGAAGAGAGGGGCGGCATTTAAATAAAGTCGCCTGTGAAAGTGAGGCACCAGCAGCAAAAAACACAATTTATTTNTCAGTCCTCATGCGTAGAAGAGAGGGGCGGCTTTTAAATAAAGTCGCCTGTGAAAGTGAGGCACCAGCAGCAAAAAACACAATTTATTTGCACACAACCAACAAAGGCAGCAACAATAATAAAAACTAGTGATAACTCATGACTCAAGAAGCTGTACAATTTTAAAAAAATCAAAAATTAAATATCGAAAAAAATCAAGTATTGAACATAAATACGCACTAAATTGAAAGCCTAAATTGTATCTATAAAACACCCGCACATTGCATACATGCTCAACAAAATATTACATATATTAAAATTCTCGTCAATACAAATTTCAATGAAAAAATAAAGAAAACTCAACTTTAATAATCAACCTACCATAAATTTAAAGTGAAAACCCATAAAAATTCATATGTTTGAAACTAAATGCCTAATTAGAATTGACAATAGCGCCTAGAAATAGTTACTAAATAGGCAACTTACATAGATTTACAAATGTAAGCCATTAGAAGAAATACTAGTGCTTGAAGACACTATAGTATGCTAAACAAAAAAAAATCGTCAATATTTAACAGAAGTTCAATTATATTCTCTGTTCTAAATTAGTTATATTCAATTACGTTCTCTGCTCTAGATTAATTTTTATTTTTTAATTAATATTTTATTTTATTTTCTTTGTTCTTTTAAAAGATTGGGACAGAATTTCCCTTAAAAACTGGGCCTCAAAAAAAATCAACCTATATAGACAATCTATAAAATTTTAAAATTTGCACAGTTCAAAAAAGTTGTACATTTGGATTATGGTTTTGAATCAAACTAGTCCATTGATGTGGTTCACAAAATTTGCCAAATTCAAAAACCAAGCTCCTTTGCTTGGCTTTAATGAGAGGAATTAAAATCAGCCCATGAATGCTAGCTATGAAGCCATGCCAGAAGATATTATGTAACAAAAAATTGTCAATTAAAAAAATTAAAATTGAATACATGCAAAAAAATTGAGCTAAATTCTTCTAAAAGTAGGACTATAGAAAAACTTCAATAGGTATACACCTAGGACTGGCAATATCCGACACAGCACGATTAACTGACACGAATCGACACGAATTAAGCGGGTTTGTGAGAAATCTTAACAAGTTTGGGTGCGTCAAACACATTTAATAAACGGATCGTGTTTTGATAAGACCTGTCAAACCGTTTATCACACGTTTACCCGTTTAAATAAAATTAATATAATAATAAATTAATAATTATTTTTAAAAAATTAGCAAGAAAAAAAGAAGTAAATAAATTAATAAAAAATAAATAAATAAAATAGTAGTTTAAACACAAAGAAGAGGATATGGAGAGCACTTTAAAGACAGAGACAAATCAATGTCTTCTGTTTTTGTCCCACATTGAAAAATGAGAGAAGATAGAGAAGGCTGAGTTGCCTATAAAAAAATAATAACCTCTTACTCTTTTTTTTAAGCCTTCAAGTCTTAGTTTTATGAGATTTGGCTAAAAATTCCTCTTTTTTGAGGTAACTGCAATTGGCAGTAAAAAAAATGGAGTATTAAAATTTATTGATATAATTTTTTTAAAATTAAATGGGTTAAACGAGTCGAGTCGTGTCGTGTTACCCGTTTATTAAACGGGTCATGTTTGTGTTGAAATTTTTTACCTGTTTATTAAACGTGTCGTGTACGGGTTTATATATTTTTCACCCGTTACCCATTACCCGTTTAACCCAATACGTAACCGTTTAAGCCGACACGTTTGACACTCCTATATATACCATTCATAATTTGTAGCCTATATGTATTAAAAATTTAAAAAGGAACCCTTTCAATGTCCATTACAACTCACGACTTAGGGTATACTCTAACACATTACTATACAATGTTGTCATCGCATTCTTTTTTCATGGACACTAAATTCAACAATCTGGCAATGAAAATTTAAAAAAAAAAAAAAATAGTGTATACTGAAAATAAACTTAAAGGGACACATTAGAGGGCGTCATTGGTTATGTATCGCGAGAACATGACAATGAGTTACCATCCAGTTACCAATGAAACACGTCTTCACCCACAGGACCTATTAGATGACAAATAATCAGCTGATCACACGATTTATATGACAAAAGCAAGTCAATGTACGCATGTTTATGCAAAAGGAAAACACTAATAGGAAATCAAGTCTCGGGAAATGCTAAATTAATTAAAGATCAAACTACGTACATAAAAAAAACTCATTACAGATTTTTTGACCAATCAAAGATCAATCACTAATGCCAATAATCCCAATTACTTCAACTCCAATTACTCAATCCCAATTCAAGCATATACTGCCCAGTTACTCCAAAAAAATATTTAAAGAGTAATACTAATTCCAATATTTAATTCCAATTACTCTCAAATACTACTTCCAATACTCCCAAATACTAACGTATACACATACCATAGTATATTTGGTAGAAATTAAAACAAAAAAATCATGTAAACATAAAATTCTTCACGTGTCTGGTGTGTGTGTTTTGCGTGTGTTGAGAAAGAGAGAGAGAGAGAATTTTTAAGAGGGGGGTGTGAGTGGTCTGCGTGTCTATGTTTGTGTACGCAATATGGGTGTGTGTGTTTGTGTGTGCTATATGGGCGCGGTGTGTGTGTGTCTGTTTGTTATGGGTTGTGTAGGAGTGTGTACGTGAGGTGCGTGCTAGGTGTGTGGGCTTTTGTTTGTGCTGTGTGCGCGGTGTGTGTGCGTGTCTATTTGCTTTGTTTTGTGTGTATGAGTGTGTATATGATGCGCGGGTGTGTGTATGTGATGTGCGGGTGTGTTTGTGTGTGTATGTGTGTCTGTGAGATGTGGTGAGTGTGTGTGTATTTTGGAAAAGATAAAAGAGAAGAGAAGACCAACGTTGGAGACAAATAGGCTTGCCAGAGTTGCAGAGTCGCCAAAATTTTGCCAAATTTGGTACCAGAGAGAGAGAGAGAGGAAGGATAAAAATGGGTGAGAAAGAAGAATAAGAAGAGAAAGGATCGGAGAAATAGGGGAAATCACCAAGTAGAAAAACTAAGTTCCTGAAAGGTGAAAGGTCATTTCTTACTCCATTCCTTCCTAAAATCAAGAATAACGGGATGGGTGCCTTATTGGAAAGTCATCCCTTACTCCATCCCTTCTTAACGTCAGCAATGGCGGGATAAGAGACTTCGTAGAAAGGCATCCCTTACTTCATTCCTTCTTAAAGTCAGGAATGACGGGATGACTGCCTTACTAGAAGGGCATCTCTTATTTTATTCCTTCTCTAGCTAACTCCTCTTCCTATTGATCTTGATTAACTCCAGCTTAATTTTGTTAAGAGTTCTCTTTCTGGACCGGACCTATTTTTAGGCGATCTCCTGAAACACTTGCTTATCCTGTATGTGCTTTCAGGGCCCCAACTCATTCAATCACTTGCTTGTGATTGTTGCCATTCCTGAATCCCTTAAAAAAATTGAACCATGCATGGATACGAACCATGATTATAGAAGTTGATGTTGCTACCAACACCGGTTGCAAAGGAACTATATTGCCAACCACATTTGGGTAAACTACATTGAAAGGGAAGAAACAATCTCAACCAATTACATTAAAGCAAAAGTACACTATGAAGAGAATCTACACTATCTACATTGAAGCAAGAATTAAAACAATCTCCAAGGGAAATCATCTCGACCAATAACCAAATTTTAATAAACTACATTAAATAAATATGATTGTTGACATTGTAACTACATCAAGTTAAACCCATCATTCTAATTCTCATAATAAATCGATTCAAAACT